AGTTTATTCAAGAATTATCAAACTGCTAAATTTTAAACTGCCAAAGATGTCTGGAGAGAATAATGATGAGTCATTCCTTTTTTCTGTGCGTAGAAAATTTTAAAATAGTTTTAATTTTATATGTTACTTGAAAGATTGAAATATTGAGGTATCAATAAATACATAATATTTTTAGATCAACTATTTTAAGACATTTTGTGAAGTATTTGTGCTAAATATGGGTTCTGTTAGGCCATGTACTTACTTCTGAAATATTATGTTGACTTGTGATTTAATATTTTGTAGTGTTCTTTAAGGACCAATTCACTCTAACAAGACACTATTAAGTTTGAAGGTAAAATGATGCTCATAYATTTAGCAAACTTTATATCCAGCATATGTTTTAATCCACAAGAGATCTTTAATCATGTGACCAAACACATTGATTTCTATAGAACTCACCATAGCACTTCCCATTGGAAAAATACCTGAGSCTAATTGTTTAGTTTTGATTACCTAAATATAAACATCTAAATTCATTTTGACATCTTAGTTGCCTAGGAGAATAAATACATATTTTGAGAAATAGCCTGCTATAAAAATATTTTTGTGTAGCTTTATATAAATTGCTTAACTGCCTAATGAAAATAGGTAATGAAATAAGCTTAATTTCTCTTAATTAGTATACATTTTAAAAAATAGTGCTTAGTGTGTGCTACAGATTGTACACATATTATAAAATGGAGAYCTCTATGTATTTAGCAATGGGTTATTTGTTTTCCATGGATATTAAGGTATTCTTTCTTAACATTGTCTAAAATACAGCTCCATTACAGGTTCCATGTGTTTTTAATTTTATTTTAGAATTCTGTTAACTGTGACAACTATGTACAAGTTCATTAAGTACACATGTTCTTGAATTATTTAGAGTTCTTGAGTCATTTAGAGATTAATTATTCTGTAATTGTTTTGCAAGTTTTTTTAGCTTGTGGTAATAATTACTGTGAATTGGTGCYGCATTTAATTTTTTGTTCCAACATGGTGAATTATATGATGTGCCAACATGAGAAAGTACATTTGTATTTTTATTTGGCATTAATTGCCTATAAAATAATGTATCTCTGTGTTTGTGTCTGTATGGTATTAGCTGCCCAACTAGCACTAATATAAGGCAATGAGTTCCCAAGTGGCTATAAATTTCACAGGTATGAATATAGTTMAACAACTTTCCTCTGAAAGTTAGATATATCAGGTGCATAAAAATTAGATAGACTTTTTCAGTATAATATTTTCATATATGCAGTGGTAATGGATGCATATGCATAGATCCTTGCAGACAGTGCATCTGCTAATACACAAAGTTTTAATTTCTTGGCTGTTCATCTGTTCATCTTGTAGTATTTTCTGTCAATATAATGAGTCATGTTGCCGTACTGATATTGTATTGCCATATGTTACTGCTTGAATTAACTAGRTTGCAGCCTTTAAAATAAGTGACACATTTAACTGACTTGAACAATGATCTCTSTCTTTATATAGTTTCTCATGCCTTGCTGGCAGTGTCTTACAGTGAGCATAATATGTTTCCCATATGTAATATTCTCTTTGTAGTTGTGTTTGTCAGACTGTTTGTGCTGTTTCTCTGAACAGGGCTATTATAAACTGTTAGTAATGCTCTTATCTATTTTTCCATAGACTGTGTTTTACACAAAAATCAATAAAAATCAATGTAAGGTATTTTGCTTTCTCTTCTGTGYTTATGCAGAATAAAATTTAGCTTACTTCTTTCTAATACTTGGGTGCTCTGATCAACATTTTCTCTGAGAGATAAAACTTGAATGTGAGTTTATAAAAATATTCTAAGGGTAACTTGTTTCTTTTTTAATGTCTGGATAACAGATTTTTCACACAGACACACTGGATAGCTGTATCACTTATCCTACTCTGAGAGGGGTGAACACTACAGTACTATCAGCACAAATTCAGTCCACTTTTCTTTCAACAAARAGTTTGGCCGTGATGGGACTGCTAGGCACCAGTAAGTTTTGTCAGGTGTCTGGTTGTGTGTATGAAAAAGCATTACTCTTTAGATGAAACAAACAGGTGAAGCACTTTGCAKTCTTTCATTTGGAAATACCTAACTTTTTTCCTAAGAAGCTTATGCCAGCATAAGAGGAAAGAGGAAAACAATACATGAGAGGTATAATCCTGCTTAGCTGTAGATCAGCAGCATCAACTGTTCTGAGTTCAGAGAAGTAAAGATTCATGGGTCAATGGAGCTGGCAGCATTTGCATTGCTTTCACATTAAGTTATGTAGCCTTCTGAGACTCCCAAATGGAATATATGTATTTCTCAAATTCAAACATTTAATATCTGTTTGTGCCATGCCTAACCTAACAGTAATATTTTAGACCTTGAAATCAGTCTTTTCTTAGCTTTYATTTTTTAAATCTCCCAATTTCTCTGTTTCTCAGTGCTTATTCTACTGAATGTTGATTCTGTGCCAAGTTTGGGGCCCCAAACTTACACCTTTGTCCATCCTTACCTTGTGCTGTACAAGAGTCTAAGTTCTGGGTCCTGTGACTTACTGCATTTCCTTACAATAATAAAGATCAGAGTGCAAGTTCCTCTCAATTCCATACCACTCACTGACCTGAACACTGTATTTTAATAGTACAGGCAGGTAAATCCAGATGTTGAAAACTCTGTTGACTACAGGTTTGATGTTGTCTCTACTGCCAGCCACTTCGCAGGTCTTTCCTTTTTTTCTGGGAATATCCAGAACGGAGGTTGGTGAGGACAAAAAAAAAAAAAAAACAAAAAGGAGAATGAAAAGGAAGTCAAGGAGTCACAGACTCTTTCTTAGAAAGAATTCTGATTACTTTAAAGACCTCAGTGTCATATTTGATAAGGAGTGCAAGTGGCTTTGAACAGAGTCTGTGGGTTCAGTGTAGCCAAAGAAAGAACATCTCTTGACTAGAGCTRAAGAGCCCCACTGCAGCACATGAAAGCTATGTCCTGAATAATCATCCTTCAGAAGTTGTGACCTAATTTGTAAAACAGTGAATAGAGAGGTAGAGGAAATAATTCACTGAACAAAGTCAACAGGAGATTAATGGCAGACCTAGATATGTAACCTTGATCTTAAAACACACAGTTATATCCTTCACACAGAGTTTTGTGGTTTCATGGAATTTATGCTGAACTGTGTCTTCATACCRAAATAGTTTGTCCTCAGTCAAAACAGAAACCCTCTTTACATCAAGTCTACCTTTTTAACAAAAAAAAATTATTTTCGTAGGATTTGTAAGACTTGAAATTCAATATTCTCATAAGTAAGTCCTCGGTGTCTCACATTTTTATTACCAATGGAAGAGGTAGGTGTGATAAAAATACAATACAAGCCTGTTTGGTGCAGAAAATTTTTGAATAAATATTTTCATACCTGATAGCATGCTTTTGAGGATGGGTATTTGCCATTTGCCAAGGGCAGCAGAATCCCTGTAGTTAAACTTGCATAATGTAGYTTTCATCCCAAGTTTTAAAAGCTTCATTTTGAAGAAGGTGCAYAGTGAGCAAGTGAAGCTTTGCAATATGATCTTTGGAACACTAAGCCAACAGGTGGCATGTGACCTAAGCTTATAATTTACAGACTGAGTTGCCCAATTTAAGTATATTCTGTATACATTTGTCATTCAAAACATGGAGCAACAAAACTTGAAACCACTTAGACTGCAATAAAAATAAATGTTAGCAGGTTTTGTTTTTGTTTTTTGTTTTATTTTTTTTTAATAGGCTTTAAAACTTTTAATACATATAACTTCAGTTCCTATCTGGGCACCAAGGGAAAATTAAATATATTCCACTTTGTTCAGCTAACTGCCTGTAGATATATAAGCATTGCCAGCACAATTARTCTCAGATGCTTAATAGAAAATCTTGTTCTACCTAGTGTAAGCCCAAATACAAAACAGAATGTTCACAAAAACAAATCTTTAAGTAGAAYATGGAAGGGCCAGTAAAATGGTTAATGGAGAGGTGTGTGTACATGGACAGATAAAAAGTGTCAAACACCAGCTCCAAGACTGGCAACTGCATTGTCACATCCAGTGAGAGCACTGCATAATGTACCACAGGTCCTACCATTTTATGAGCCGTGTTCCTGTGATCACAACTCAAGATGTTATGGATGTCAAATGGCACTTAGAAAAACATTGTGTTTTCTAAAATAAGAGTCCCATACTATGCTAGACTATATTTTTGCCATCATTTTGGAGTTCCATACAGGATGAATTTCTACTAAATGCAGAGTGTGCATGGGTATGTGTGTGTATACACATATACACAATATTGTGTATTTTCCCTTTTGATGGAAGGAGAATTCTATAGCATATGTGAGTACTAAACATGATGTGCACCTTATTTCTGCAGAAGGCAGGTAGGAAATGGGAGGGTGTAGCATGCAAGCTGGGAAAAATGAAAATAAGAACTGTGTTGGTTATAGCTGGAGCCCTCAAGGTGTCTTTATTGATTGTTACCAATCACTTCATTTAAAAGGTGTCTAAAGATTTACACAGCTATCTTACMGTTCAATAAATCTATTCACATATTCAAATGTTTGTTTGGAATCACTGTAGTTAATTATTTGTTAATGAAAATTGGGGTTGGCATCAACAGTGCCTGCACTCAAAGATCTGGGATATGTGCGTATCCAATGTGACAGGTACACAACTTGTCTAAAGGATATCCAAATTCTAGGAAGGGCAGCTAAAGCGTGCAGTCCAATAGAGTACATGTGAACACACCAAGAGCTGTGTTGGCCTTGAATCTGAGTTGTCAAATAAGCCTCGAACAGCTGCTCGCTGTTTGCAGGTAGAACACATCCACCCACATTCCCTTATGCTTCTSTCCCTACCTTTTATTACTTTTTTCCACTGATCTGTGCAGAGAACAGGTTCCTCTCGCCCTCCTCCCCGCTGCCAGGCTACCCCAAGCAGTGCTTTCCTGTCTGGGGTTTGTCATGGTGGTCTCTCATTGGGGTTTTTTCATGGTTATTTGTTACGGATCGACCAGCCTCTTCCCTTCCAGCTCCCCACCATGYGGCAGCCGCCGAGCCTCTGCACCGCAGCGATGGGGAAATGGTTTTCTCGACGAGGTCGCGATCACAGATAAAGCCCAAGAAGTGACTTTTGTGTCAGGGTGGAGGACGGTGTCAGATGCGGAGGTGGCGGCTGAGCTGTGGCGGTGGCACGGGGCCCCTCAGGCTGTGGCGGTGGAACGGGTCCCCTCAGGCTGTGGCGGTGGCACGGGGCCCCTCAGGCTGTGGCGGGCCGGGCCCCGGCGCCGGGAGGAGGCACCGCCCCGCTGCCATGGCAACGGCCGGGCCGCGCTGCCGCCGCGCGGAGGCACCATGGCCTCGCTGGCCGCTGCCGAGCCCCCGGACCCATGGGCGACCTCCAGCTCCCCGGGCCCCGGCTCCTCTAGCAGCGGCAGCCAGCGGCGCAGGAGCGGCCCGGACGGCGCCCAGGTGAGCGCTCCCGCGGGCAGGGGCACCACCAACCCCGCCGCTGCGGCTGCCGCCGGCCCGGGCCCCCTGCTCTACCCTGCCCTGCCTTACCCTGCCCTGCCCTGCTCTACCCTGCCCTACTCTCCCCTGCCTGGCCCTGCCATGCCCTGCTCGCTCTGGAGGCGGTAAGTACCTTAGGAAACCTGAAATAATGAAAATAATAGTGTGCAGACATGCACTGCAGCTAGCGGGACCCTGTGTCAAATATTCACCCTTAAATATTAGCTGTGAAGCACAGTATGTATTTGTCACTGTAAATAAACTGAGGGTTACCACAA